ATGATGCTGATACAAAATCGCTAATATTTCAAGGTAATGTTGTTAGCAGATGTCCAATCCTACGATATGCCGTTTTACAGCTGACAATTTTAACAATAACATACTATTGAGACCATCTTTTGTCAAACGGCGGAAACTTATTTATACTCCTAATAAAAAATACAAAGAAATTTTTTTTGTGGTTTAAACTTACATCATTGGATACGACTGCTGTTACGAGTTGTTTTCAGGATGGGAGAAAGTGGAAAACATATAGTGAGGTCGACGGGTACCTCGAAAGGTCTCGAGACATCTGCGACATCTCTGCATTCTAGTGGCCAGGATTCTGGTATAGTAGCTCGCACTTCTTGCCATTGCAGTCATTCATCCAGTCCTTCTAGTGACGAAAGTAGCAAGTAAGTATTTAAGTTTTTTGACTATATTCTTTTCATTTTTATCATGATGTAGCAATGAGATTATGCTTCAACTCGAACCTAATCACGTTTGACAAATATTGATAATAATTCTATAACTTGTTTTAAAACATTACAAAATATACTTTTTTAAATATTTTTTTGTATAAAATATATCATTTTAATTATCCCAGCAAACACAGTTATATAGCAGCAACATTGTCATAATAAAATATACTGTAACAAGTAATATAACCTGGTCGTTGCATGTAATATGTTATAATGTTCTTCTATGTTAGTTGTAATTTACATTGCATTGTACATTGCAGTTATACAGGGTCATCGAAAAGTATCGGACCCCACTAATATATTCAGTTAGAATGCATTTTAGAAAAAATGTCTAATAGCAAAGTTGTATGGTTTCAAGCGAAGAGTAAGATGATGACCTTGACTTTGATCTTGACCATGTCCTTTAAGGTCATTTCAAGGTCAACCTTATTTTCTAAAATAAAACCCCCTAAATAAAACCCTATTTTATTGCATATTTTTATAGCTTATCTCAAAAGCTTTCCAAAACACTATAATAAAATATTTTTTCATTAAGTACTTTTTGAGTTATAAAGGTTTGAAGTTAACAATTTTTGACACAAAATGTAAAATATCTTGTAAAATATTATTTAGTTTTCAGTAATCATAATCTTAATACGTTTGTGCGCTGAATAATGAGATCAATTAATTGGTTTAAAGAAAATACATTAATCAAAAAGTTTCGGATTCCCGTAATATTTTCAGTAAGAATGCATTTTCGAAAAATGTCCAATAGCAAAGTTGTACGGCTTCAAGCGGTTATGCTAGTAGGCTACGGCGGAAAACTGCCCTGAAGGTGATCGCAAGAAGTTGCTCGAATGCGTGATGTCCGAAGGCGTTAGCGGGAATCTGCCCGAAAACGTTGGCGGGGCCGATCTTTATTCTTTCACTCTTGCAGGTACCAATGTACGAGCTCTTGAGCAAACAATATGGATCAGTGATTTTAATCTTTGATGCAATGCTGTCTTCTTCTTAGCGAGCAGCAGTTACCTCGTGAACAAAAACAAACAGCCTCAAAAAGTTTTTCTGTAACAAAAGAAGCCATTGCGCTTCACTTGATTGTCTCAAACATCTTCATTTTGTTTCCAATAGCCCAGAAATTTTTCGTAACTATTATTAAATAATCTATTAGATTTTCAGTTGCTCAACGAGCTTTTTGCTAGTGCTGGTTAAAATAAACAAATCAATAGTTAGACCAATACTTAATAATTAGTATTTTTCTCTACTTAATTATTTAGATCCATTTCTTATCACTTACCTGATTAATTATTTTTTGCTCTAATTAAGAATGGCGGAGCTTTCTGAAAAAGATCGAATAATACCGTTAATGATGCAAAGATGGGGAGATCAACAAAGAGGATATAAAATAGTAACGCAATTATTTAATAAAAATTTTCGGAATGAAAATAATAGGATCTCTAAAAGTACTGTAATCCGTACTATTTAACGTTTCAAGGACATTAGTAGCGTTAAAAGCCGCTCAAGATCTGGTAGACATAAAACAGCAACAAATAATGATAAGGCATTAAATGTTTTACAGTCTTTCGTTGAAAATCCCCATATTTCTATCAATCGCGTTGCACAAGAACACGAAATCGGTCATGCATCTGTCAGTAAAATTTTGAAATTGAATAAATGGCATCTATACAAACTCCATTTTTGCCAAGAGTTGTCCGAAGACAATTTTGATAGACGCATCGAATTTTGTGATCTTATGATGGAGATGATTGTCGACGATCCTCTATTACTTAATAATATTGTTTTCTCTGATGAGGCAACATTTGAACTGACTGGAAATGTAAATAGACACAATTGTAGGTACTGGAGTGACGTTAATCCTCACTGGAAAAGAGACAATCATACCCAATATCCACAAAAAGTTAACGTATAGGCTGGTATTCTTAATAGTAGACCAGATGGCCCTTTCTTTATTAAAGGCAATTTGACAGCACAGGTATACACATTCATGCTTCGCGAACAAATTGTTTCAGCTATTTGAGATATAGCTGATGGAAATATGGATGAAATTTATTTCTAACAGGATGGAGCTCCACCTCATTATAGTGTCATTGTCCGTCAATATTTGAATGAGGTCTCTCAGGACAGGTGGATAGGGCGAATGAGTCATATTGAGTGGCCACCTCGGTCTCCGGACTTGACCCCAGTTGATTTTTTTTGTGGGGTTACTTGAAAAGTAAAGTTTATACCACCAAGCCTCAAGATTTAGATGATTTAAGAGGGAGAATAAGTCGAGAGATAGAACTAATACCGCCGGAAACGTACCGGAATGCGGTTTCAGCTGTTTATAACAGATTGGCACATTGCCAGGCTGTTGAAGGGCAACACTTTGAACATTTGTTGTGAATTGTTTGATACAATTGAATATTTTCCCCAAGCTGACTAATTGGAATGAAATTTGCCTTAACTGGCCGGACCTACACGCCACTCTTGCCTTAACTGGCCGGAATCACACGCCACTTCACAAGTTGTTAATTTCAAACCTTTATAACTCAAAAAGTACTTAATAAAAAAATGTTTTATTATAGTGTGTTGGAAAGCTCTCAAGATAAGATAAAAATATGCAATAAAATGTAGGGAGTTCCATTAAAAAAAATAAGGTTGACTTTGAAATGATCTTAAAGGACATGGTCAAGATCAAAGTCAAGGTCATCATCTTACTCATCGCTTGAAACCATACAACTTTGTTATTCGATATTTTCTCCAGAATGCATTCTAACTGAAGATATTAAGAGGGTCCGATACTTTTCGATGACCCTGTATATAATATGAATATAACATGTAACTGTCTTATTACTATTAAATTGCAATTATATATTGCTAAATAGTGTTGGTAAATATTCAAAGCGAGCACCTTCGGAGGTCAATGGTCTTGACACATGTTGTACCTCTTTAAACAACAATCTGAAGATTTTAGCCATTGCTCGTTGTTTGTTAAAAAAGTATAAACAAAAGAAGTTGTGTCAATAAAGTGTTATTTTCCGACACCGTGTACATTTTGTTTGTGTTGTAAGCGTGTAGGTAGGGAAGGCTGCGCCTTCTCACAGTGAAAGGGCTTTGCCTCTCCTCTTTGCTCCCTTTTTGAGAAAAAATAAAGAATTCGATTAAGCGTCGCTTTATGTTAAGATTGTTTACTTTATTGTTTGCAATATTTTACAATGTTATGTATGTCTGTTGTTATAGCAATACATTATAAATATTATTTGTTGGTTCGCAATTTGCTACTATTTAATGGATAAATTTTGGACATTATTGAGAAAAATTTGTCTATGCGTTCGCGTATTACTTTTCTTGTTACACAAATAGTTTATTAGTCGATCTAAATCGTACGTCAAATAAAAAATTAGTGTAGAAACATGTTTAACACTTGTTCGCTCACGGAGAACTAAACAACTTCAATGTGTAGAGAAATGTAAATAAAACTACAAGGCCACTTAACAAAACTACTTTGTTTATGTTTTTTTGTTTGAACAAAACGTACACGTTGTTGAAAAATAAGAGTTTATTTATGATAATTCTTTTGTTTATAATTTTTTAACAAACAACGAGCGACGGCTAAAATCTTTAGATTGTTCTTCAGGGAGGTGGCCTTGACAACATATGTTAAAATCAGTGACCTTCGAGGGTGCTTCGTTTTTTTTTGAATATTTACCATAGTGTTATATAACAACAATGTAAAATTCATGTAACATTTGTTATGTAATTTATTACATATCTATTATATTGCTGTTATAACGTCATTACCAGCTAATAACAAGCAATTTAATAGGTATATAACATGATTATATTAAAATTATATAACATCAATGTTAATAGAGCATAACAGCAGTTATATTACGTGTTACTTCTATGTTATATGACAATTATATTCTGTGTTTGCTGGGATATATGACAAATACAATTTTGTCCTGATATCATGTATTTCTATATTTGACATCAATGTCATATTTCTTATTGTCTCTTTTGCGTGCAAATTGTTCATGCACTTTTTTTAGCGGATATGAAGACTCACTGAAATCTCTTCAGCGTCAAGAAAGAGGTAACAATGTTTTACGTGGCAATCATGACAGTGTCATTGAAAAACGAGCAAATCTGGCGATGAAAAGGCGACGTTTCCACTCTTTCTCGAATGGTGAATCTATTTATACACACGAGATGACGTTACAGAAAGAGCAACATTGTTGCAACAGCACCGACAAAAGACAAAAAGCTGAGCACCACCGTGCACATTCCGAGGCAGAAAACAATATTACCGAGACAGTGATAAACGAACATCCGGGAACAGAGATCTCGTTAGGTTCTCTACTAAATTCATCAACCCTTCGTGGTAGATATTATTCACGTAAATAAGGATACTATCTTATCTTCAGATGTTGATAAACGTACAGTCGTGGTCACTGAATCGTTTCGTGGACGCGGGAAGCTAGGGGTAAGAGGAACGGTATTCCCTAGCAGTAAGTAGTGCCAATGGACGCCGTACTAACTAACCGTAGCAATCATCTGATCCACAACTGCGTTATGTCGATAATGTCAATGCTTTCCTTTACTATTTGTGTCTCAAACTATAAAACTATTGGCCATTTCATAGCCAATGTTTCACAAATACATTCATATATATATATAGGGTCATTGCCATCTAACCGCTTGTAAGTAGATAGAAGGAATTATTTTAAAACAAAAAGTTCTATACCAATTTGCAAGATTCACAATAATTAACAAAATATTAATTAATAAAGATCCGCTAATCAGCATGCACCCAGAGTAAGAACAGCCCAGTCTGTCGCGCCGTAGCAACGGAATGGGAGAAGCTAATAGAATAACATGTGCACACATAGACAGCATATAGAACTGCGTTCGGGCAGCGCGCTATCCGCTATTGTATTCCGTCGCTACGACGCGACAGACTGAGCTGTCCTTACGCTGGATGCACACTGATTAGCGGATCTTAATTAATTAATATTTTGTTAATTATTGCGAATCTAGCAAAGTGATATAGAACTTTTCGTCTTAGAATAACTTCTTCTATCTACCTACAAGTGGTTAGACGGCAATTACCAAACACCCTATATATATATTGTATTTACACGTTCAGACCACGATAAAAGTGTACACAATGTCGAAAAATAAAAATTTAGTTTTGAAAAAGAAAATTTAGTTTTTGTGTCCTTATATTCATATATTATTAGTTTAATAAGACTTATAGAGCCTGAAAGTAATCTCGATTTATCACTAATTGTTAGAATTTACGCTGGAGGAAGAAACGGTATTAAATAGATCTGATTATATTTGATAGATATACGAAGTATTGCGAGACAAACTCCAAGTGCCTCGGTGGCCTAACAGGGAAGGCGACGGCCCGGAAAGCCGGAGATTCCAGGTTCGACTCCTGGCTGAGGAGTTTTTTTCGCAATATTTTAAAATTAGTTAAGGGGGTATACGGGATCCTTCATATATACGTGATGCAAATCCAGCATCCTATATGAAGAAAAAAATTATTTTGAAGTATATATGTGTATACATATATATATATTTAAAGCACATTCACGCACAACATCCTGCGAACGGCTCTTCATGTCCCTATATTCATATATTATTAGTTTTGAAACTTCAATTGTTTATAACTTTTTTTTAAACAACGAGCGACGGCTAAAACCTTTTGATTGTTACTCAGAAAGGTGTTCTTGACAACATATGTCAAGCTCATTGAAATCGGAAAGGGGTGATCTTTTTTAAATATTTACCTCTCCAGCAGCCAGGATCCGGCGAAGAGTGTATCGAAGCGACAAATTGGTGAGACAAGTGTCTTTCTCTTTTGTGAAGTCGCCAATTCGGTAATTTTGCGTGTGTTCAGTGTCGCGCATCGCGACCATTGTCGTGAGTTACTCGAGTGCGTGATCGAGTGAAATTGTCGTTAGTAAATTGCGTCCTGCTCTCTCTATCGATGTTAGAACAGTCAACCTGTACGCGTGTGTATTTTCCGTTTGTTTAGTTATTTCTTTGTATTTGTGTCATTTGCGAAAGATCTGTTCCGCCCGCGGAATTGAATATTAACTCTCGCGTTAAATCGACGTTCCGACACGTCGCAATTCTTTCAATTGTACCATGAAGAATATCGTGAGATAGTATCGCTAAATAAAGTTATTTTTTAGATAACCGCGCTGGTTCGCTCTTCCTTACAATGTTATCCTACACGAATCCCGCCTCTCTGTTTGAAAACTTGTCTGAACTAGCCGATGCGCTTCTTGCGGCCGTCGCGTCTTGCGATTAATTAGCAAATTATTTGTAAAATTCGGTGATACGCCGAGGCGTATCTGGCGCCCAACTTCAGGAAATTTAGCGTTAAATTTTGAGATCCCGTGAGACGTGACGTTTGTGCCGTTTAAAAGAATTGTCTAGATTTACTTCGAACACTGCATAAAAATAACGGTCACACACAATATTGTAGAATTATTATTTAATTTCTTTTATTAATTAATCGAGATAAAATGAGTTAGATGAAAGTGAAACTTTAACTCGCCAGCTTTTTTCAAAGTATCTTGTTTTATTCTTCTCGCTCTGTATGTGACGACGTCCTACGAGCGACTATCTCGTTTTTGAAAATATAAAACTTACTTTGAACCTACAGCTACACGTACGGACATACACACGCTCATATCACGCAAACAATCCCGCGTTTGTCTTATCTGATTTAACATATATGATTTAACAGTTTTATTTTTTCACACTTCGGCCACCCTGCACAGTCATTTGCCTTGAATGACCTCGTCATCGCTTACACTCTCCTCACTATTATTGTCCGGTTCTATCCAGGGTTTCAGAAATTCTGCCGGAACTATGGTGACGCGAGGACCTTCATGTTCTCCAATCTTGCAAACCTTGTAGCGGTTCTTCTCTAGAACCCTGGTCACCTGATACGGGCCCAGGAACTTTATTGCCAGCTTAAGACCCGGCTTAATTTGTGTTCTTTTAATAGCTATCAATTGATTCTGATAGTACTTTAGCATTCTTCCTACGTGCATCGAATCCTTTCTTATTTGCCTGCTGCACCTTTAAAATATTTTTTTTGCTATCTGGTGTAGCTTATTGCGTTCTTCAGCAAACATGATCGCGAGCTCTTGTTCAATGATCGCTTTGACCGCAGGAAGACTCCTGAGCCTCATATGGGTTTTGAACATTAATTGAAATGGCGACATATCGATACTTCTGCTACAAATCGCATTTAAATACTGCATTGCAATTCCTAAATGCTTATACCAATTCTCTTTAATAGATGCAGCCAGTTTTGTCACAAGAGAAATAACAGTGCGGTTTACTCGCTCCACTTGACCGCTACTTCTTGGCAAACTAGTAGAAATGAGTGCGTGATGCACTCTCTTTTCTTGATAGTAGTTTTGAAAGTCTTGTGACTTAAATGCCGATTTTCTATCTGATATCTTCACTGGGTTACCAAATACGACAGCCTGCCTTTTGAGTCGGTCGATCATTTCGGCCGCATTGGCTGTCCTCGCATACAGCCAGACGAATTTCGAGAAGGCATCTATAACTACAAAGATATACTTGTATAGCTCTTCTTAGATAAAGGCAAAGACCCGAGATGATCGACATGATACACTGACAGTGGCGAATTTCCTTTATCAATGGGATGAAGCAAACCTTCCTTTTTGCCCTGCTTTCTTTCTGCCAAGATACACGTAACGCAACGCTGAATAACTCTCTCGATTTTAGCTCGCATTGGCACTCTTGAACCAATACTCTCTTCGCAAAAGTGCCTCCGTTTTATCAGTCGCAAAGTGTCCATTCTCGTAAGTCTGCCTAATCACCTGAGTCTGCATACGCTTTGGAACAACCAGCTGCTCTCCACGTTTATCGCCTATTTTATAGAGAAGGTTGTTTTTTACGTTGTAATTCTTGGCAATTCCATCTTCAGCAGCTTTAAAACAAGCTTGCTCTGAGTTCTCACGTTGTGCCTGTTTCAATCTCTCCCGCAGTCTCTTCGTTCATCAGATAACATGCAGAAAGAGAGTTCCGACTCCAAGCATCGACTGCTGCATTGCTCTACCTGACCGATGCTCTATCGTGTAATCGAAATCCTGCATGAATATTGCTCAACGAGCAATGCAAGCAGAAATATCCTTTTTGCTTATTGTTTTTACAAAAGCATCACAGTCCGTAACAATTCAAAACGATATTCTTAATAAATATATTCTAAATTTCTTAAGCGCTTTAACAACCGCAAGCACTTTCAGCTCATAGCTTGTGTATTGTTCCTCTGCGGAAGTCCTCTTCGGCTGCTCGCATAATACACAGGATGCCACGAGTTGTCTTCATCATTGCGCTGTAACAAAATTGCGCCAAATCCATACATACACGCGTCCGTATGTAGCTCGGTTTCCGCTTTTATATTATGTAAGTGCAACATCGGATTTTTAGTTAATGCAATTTTTAATGCTTCGAAAGTTTGTTCTTCTTTCTCGCCAAATATAAACGATACGCTCGCTCGCAATAAATTTGTCAGAGGCCTAGCAATCGCAGAATAATTCCGTATAAATTTTCTAAAATATCCGGTAAGACCTAAAAAACTCTGCACCTGCTTAACATTGCTCGGCTTAAGAAATTTCTCGACCGTTTTGGTTTTATGAGTGGAAGGTCTGAGAGATCCGTTTTCCACTATATAACCCAGGTACTCTACTCTTGACTGAAGAAAACAACTTTTCTTTCAGTTGATTTGTAAGCCATACTGACCCGCCACATCTAATAAAGTTTCTAAACTTTTTAATTCCTCCGCGAGATCAACTGATGGGATTATAATATCGTCCATATAAACTAAGATAGTCTTATTTGCAATTAAAATCTCTAAATATGGCATTTATATATCGCCGGAAAACGGACGATGAATTACAAAGGCCGAAGGGCACTGTGAGAAAGTCATAGTGTCCATCCGATATGACAAAAGCTGTATTTACGACTCTCTTTACTTAATGCACAATAAAAAACCCATTTCTTAAGACCAATATACTAAAAATCCTGGCTCTTTGTAAACTGTCTAATTGATCCTCCACCAATGGCAAGGAATATCTATCTCTAACTATTTTTTTATTCAGTTTTCTGTAATCAATGTATAATCTATTCGAACTGTCCTTCTTCTTAATTAATACGATCGGACTAGCATATTCTGAAAGAGACGGCTGAATTATCTTATCGCGAAGCCATTCCTGGATCTGTTTATCACCTATGTCATTCTCTAAAAGTAACAATCGTCTCGGTCGCTGCCAAACAAGTGCATCGTCTTTTGTTATTATTGTCATCTTTACTTCTACCTCTCGAGTTTTTATCGGGTTATATTGCTCTATTATTACTTCTATCATGCGTCTGTGGTCGTTATTCTCAAGGTGAGACAAGTCTACAGTATTTATTTCGCGCACAACGTCTATCGCAAATATCTCAGGACGCACGTCACTCGCCTCACAAACGCCTGACGGCTTAACGAATGTCGCGATTCCTTTTTTAATAACAACGTTAACTGTATTTATAGACTCGGATCCGATAAGCACATCGTATAAAACGACGTCATCCGATACCACGTGCGCTGTAATACTATATTCGTCATTATCTATAAAACATGTCCTTGTAAATTTATCGAGAGTTTTATTACTGTTTGATCCAA